TATTTTTATTATCAACCTCGAATATGATTTCAGACCTTCTGAAGGAGAGGCACATGCTTAAATTCAGACCAAAATGACATTTTCATAATTCAGTGATCTCTATCATGTGAGGTAAATACTTAAACCTCAGAAAATGTCTGGTTATATAGATTGTTTAATAAATAAATGGCAATAACAAAAAACATTTATTTTGCTCTATACCTGCCATGCCCCCTTTTAAAATACTTCACACAGATAATCTATTTCATCATCAACATAATCCTATTAAGTAGATACTATTTATTACCCTCATTTAACAGATGAAACAACTGAGGTTTGGAGAGAATAACGCAGCGGTAATAGAACTGGGATTAGTAACCAAATCATTTGGCTCCAGAGTCATCTTCTTAATGCCAAAAAAAAAAAAACTGCTTTACTTCTGTTTGTTGAATATTAGTACTAAAAAATAAAGTTGTGTAAATCCATCAATATTCACCAACATGCCGTATGTTCCTTCATCAGCCAAGTAAGAGTTCTCATAGATGTGGGAGATTTTTCTTTGAGAATTCCATCTAAAAAGAATTCATATTTTTAAGGGATGCCTGAGTTTATGCAGATATACTCATTCTTGCATGAAATAGGCAGAAAGAAGGGCTTCAAATAGAGAAGGGAGACCGACTTCTTTAAGAATAACTTCATAGAGGAAGGGAGTCCTAGGTAATCATTTGATAGAGAAGGATTTTCCATGATATCAAGGGCATTAGTTAAGGTGGGTGTGGGGGACATTTTGCAAAGAGAGTAGGTTTCACAGAGCAGTGCCAGGGAATGTGGGAGCTAAAATGTTGGAGCGTCAGCTGACAGAGACCATGAAGCCCAGGATCAGAAGGTATGAGAATATGAAGGCCACGGAGAGTGATTCCGGGAGATGAATCCGACTCAACTACTGGGCCATGGTCTTCTCTGGGTAAAAACTCTATCTCATTATGCTACAGGTTAGTTTGAGAGCTAGATTCAGATGCTTTATAGAAGTTGAGCGTTTTGGATTTTTTTTGAATGAATGAGATCGTTAAAAGTTTTAGTAATGTTATATGATTTCAGAAATGAGTTGTAAAACATTTTTCCTTATAACATGAGAAAATTGAACAATAATCTTTTTGGCAATAAGACCAGGGAAGACTTTGTTTTCTTTTTAACAGATGGACTGTTTTTTAAAGAATTCAACCATTTTTTCTAGTACTCCTATCCCCATTTTATCACTTAAGTATCTTAAATGCATCTCTTAAAAAACATTGATGTATTTGAAATATCTCT